ACCATTCTCTCCCCCCGCCCCCGCCGCTTTCCGCTCCCGGTATTCGCTCCCGCCACCCACCCTCTCTCCGTGTCTTACTCTCGCTGTCCGCCTCTCCCCGCTCCCTTTGCCACCCGCGCCAGAACTCACTCTGCTTTATGACCCTCTCCCGGCCTGCCTTTTATATTTTGATCTCCTCGTTTAAGCGTAAATGCCAACATTGGCTATTTTTAGAGCAAGGACGCAAAGGTCGCGGAGAATAGTGGCGTTGCATCAGACGCAAAACATTTAAAGTTAATTTGTTTAAAATTAATTGCATGAGATATTTACTGTTTTGAAGTATTTTCAGGTGCACTTTTCGTTTATGACAAACACGGTGTGCTACCTGTAGTGAGTCGTGTCATTTGTGCAATGTGAAGAGTACGTTGCATTGTATCTAAGGCTAGACGAACACTGGTATTGGTCGGGCCGTACGATTGAGGAAACTAGTTATTGAAGCTCTATCGCGAAACGTCACAAAACCGAAACAAATAAGATATTTACTGACACGTGTGGGTTTTCTAAGACTGTTGAAAATTATTTTGTGCTTCACACACTAGTTTCAAATTCCGTATGAAATATTGGGGATGATGATGATGATGATAATACAATTATTATTATTATTATTATTATTATTATTATTATTATTATTATTATTATTGAGGTTATTTAGTTATTCGAAGAAATGTTTAATAAATTGTAATATAAACGTGCAAGATACGATTAATGACGTTTATTCAATGTTTCTGGAAATACTAGATGTGAAACTATTGAGGAAGAAAAAGTTCAAAAGTTCAAAAAATTGTTGTAAAAAGCATGGAGGTCTTGCCATCAACTGTCATATATTATAAAGTTATATTGACTTGACGTATGCTTTTTGTTCGAATTCATTTTTTTCCCTGAAGAGAAGTGTACAATTTTCACATAGGTCGTCCTTTTGAACTGAGCGTGACATGTTACGGGATCAGCCGAAAGATTAGCTGTTTTCTCGACTGGGACGGTTTCCCACTGGATGAGATACCTGTAGGAGGAAACACGCAAAAGCTCGATCCAGCAGGCGAGGAACACCGCCACAGCCAGGGATATAACACACACTACGCTTAGGGGACTAAAGACCTCAGTAGTAACGCTCCTGGAATCAATACTCGTCTCCAGAAAACATCACGCATTTTCACCTCTTGTAGTTATTATTGCTGAACGTTTTTGAAGGTGTTGAACCTCGTAAACATTTTTTGAGACTGTTTTAGTGCACTACTAAAAATCCACGTCCCAGGGTCAACTGAGGTGTGACGCGGGTAACTCTTTATGCAGAAAATAGAAACCAAGCCGAATTCACAAAGGCTGAGAGAACATAGAAAATTTCGCCAAGAAAACAAAAGCAAAAGATGTTAATTCCACCACGAGCGTCTGGAGTGGAGACGCGGGGCGTTATAACGTTGCGCAACGCGTATGAAATTAACTCTCTCTCTCTCTTTATCTCTCTCTCTTTTCTTTCTCTCTTCTCTCTCTTTTTCTCTCTTTCTTTCTCTTTTTTATCTCTATTTCTTTCTCTTTTTCCCTTTCTCTCTCTGTGCGTGCGTGCGTGTGTGTGAGTGAGAGAGATGTTTGGTTCCATGCACCTTCCCGAGGGCGGTTCCCTGTGGAGTGCCAACTGCGCGTTGGCCGGCGCACAAGTCGCCGGGCGCGTGCCGCTCTCCGCTGCTGGGCGGAAGTGGGGAGCTATTTCCAGGAATGTAACCGGCCGGCGCCGAGGGCGTGGGAAGCGGGCGGCAGGCGTGCGCAACTGCGCATCGCGTCTCGTGGAGCCCTGCCGCCGTCCGGGGGGGGGGGGCGTGCGATCGGGATCACATTGTTAATATGCTACGATTTTTGTATACTAGAGGCCATTGGCATTAGGTCATTGTTCCACCCCCTGCCGTATAAAATAAATAGTTTTAAGTATTTCGGGAACTTCCTTCTCAACGCGGTTCGTGGCTTCAGAAATGTACTTGCCACTGTTAAAAGTGTAAATTTTGCAAGGCAGGAAGTGTAACAATGACCGAATGTCATTGGGCACTGTAGAAAAATCGAAGTATAGACGCACGCAGCTTAAATGACACGGTGGAGGATGGCATGAATAGGTTCCCTCTTTCGTTAAACTCTTTCATTTACTTATGGCTTTTTTACTCGGAAATAAAACAATACAAGGGGAATGTAATTACAACTTTAATGACACAGTTAATAAGTACTATCGATTTTATGTTGAGCCATTTACAGAAGTGGCCGATGCTGTGGAGAACCTCTTTCACAAATATCGTGTATGAGTTCCCCAAGTTGTCGGCTTAAAAAGGGGAAAAATCAGGAATTGATCATATTTTCGGAAACAGTGTTTTATTTAGTATGATTAAGGGGCCCCTTTCTAAATTTTCAGGGAGACTTGTGCTCCCCACCTCTGTGCGCAAATAACCTCTGTTTAAATGGGTAAAAGTGATATCTAATTGTTTTCACGCATATTTTCAAACATGTCCCAGCATACGCTATTTCAAAATTAGAAACCCAGCTTATCCTTCGCATGCATCCGCTCGCGTCTTTCAAAAGACTTACGGTCTCCCTAACGATTACTAAAACCTTTCATATGGTTGCGGACCATATGTGCATTACCCGGGCGATCCACACATGACCCCGTTTTGTTGATCTCGGCGGTTTGTCCGGCTGCGCTTAAACGGAAGGGGGGGGGGATATGGAACCATGATTATGAGTTTCTACAATGTATAACGCAGTGAAACACATTGGGATGATTTTTAATTTCTTAATTTACTAAAAAAAAACAAACTGAAATCTAAACTCAACCTTTTTTTACATTAAGGCGGTGTTAACCCCGACAAGGTGCGTGCGCTAGGCAGAATATTCTCACCAGACGATGGGTTCAAGGGACATTCACGTTTGTCTTAATACCTTTCGCAGACCACAATAAATTGCACCGCAAGCCGCGTACGACCCGCGGACCGCCGTTTGTACTTTATTTGAGAACAGGTTTAAAGAGAAAAATCAATATTCATGCATGTTGAATACGGTTGAAACAATATTAAAAGGTAGGTCACTTCTTATGATAATCTCAGGACTACAATTAAAAAACCTATGTAAAAAAAGTACAATTACAAACTTCGGAAGGCAGAAATGACGAACAAGGCTTTAAATGTTGTGTATTTTAGGTTTGAGAAGGAGATAAGGAAAATGAGGAAATGTGAAGAAATTCGACGGACCACAGAAGCACGATACGAGCGCCAGTCCTGCAATATAAGAACAAGTTTATGAAAACCTCATCATAATCTCCAACATCGCCGCTTCACGACAGCGGAAAATTCTCTTACTCCGCACGGAGCCATTCCCCTCTTATTGAAGGAAAACTCCACGACGATCACGTGACTTGGCTTTTGGAGTCAAACCCGATTATGTAAATTCGATTCCTCCTCGGCGGTGTCGCGACCTATCGGACCCGACGTCACAACTCACCGGCAGCCCGCGTTCATAATGCTGTTGTTTACATCTCGAGCCGCCGTACGGCGAGCACTGACAACACTACATTTTAGGCTCAAGCAGCACCTGAAGGATCTAATAAGGCTCTTAGTAAACGTCAGTCAGCACTCGGCCTGACGAAAGAAAAGTAACAGCGGTGTCGTAAACACTTCTTTAATTTTCTCACATTTTACTAGACCGGTCACGTTGGAAGAAATGTGTTTGTTATTTTTCTAGTAACGTAACGTGCTGTGAATATTGTAAAGAAGGTAAGACTTTTGAAATTCTTCTGAAAACCATAATTACGTCTCGGGTTTACTTCTTGGTAACATCAATGGTTACTGGTTTAGATGGGGGCCTATCTGCAATGTGTTCTTAGGGTGACCAAATCGAAACTAGAAGTACGTCGATATGGTCACCCTATTAATTTTCCGACTCATTCTTACGTGGTGACTACATTCTTTATGTGGTCGCAAGAGTGCGCAGTTATGTTTGGAGATCACCTGCAGTTATGTAAAAAAAATAAATAAATAAAATAAAATATAATAAAACACCACGTATGTCTATAATGGTATGAAGAGAATCTTATTTTGAATTGG